AAACCCATACCTATTCTGACGACTTTAGCGTATATTATTTGGGCCCATTTTCGAAGTACAGTAGAATAGTAGGATCAGCTGACCTTACTAATGTACCTTACTTCAGGTTTGGTCCCCAATGATAGGCGCCGGAATCGTCCAAATTCGCCACGAACTTCGCCGTGCAATTTGCCGCGCGCACACTCGGACGCACGACTTGACACGCATCCCCACTTGCGTTTTGCAGTTCGGAAAAGTTCAACGTTTTGGTCGTCCTTTCATACATAATGGTAATACGCTGAACGAGTAATGCATGCATTTTCTTTGGTATTACCAACAAACACCAGTAAACCAACCGCAAGCTACACTTTCTTTGCAGCTAACCGGCATACTTTTGGGATGCATAACCGGGGTACGTGGGCCTACGTGCGTACGAGGATTCGTGTGGCAAATCGCGCGGCGAAGTTCGTAATGATTTGAACGACTCTAGCGTTTATCATTGGGGCCCAAATTTGAAGTAGAGTAGATTAGAAGGATCATCTGACCCTATTAAACTAAGTCAAAGCCGTACAAATCGTCACGAACTTCGCCGCTCAATTTGCGCGTCCTTGGTGCACGTTCCCAGCATATTCGTGGTCAACTCGCATAAAATCTAGCTCGGGCACTTTGGGCGCAACCCACCAGAACATTAACGACAACCTACACATCTGGCAGAAAAGGTTTAACGGAGTAGAAACCCCCTCCTGCTTTTACGGACCTGACCGTAACTTGGAGTACTCATTCCTGGGCCTGGCCCTATTATTTTAGGCCAATCATGGCCACAATTCGTAGATGGAGAACTGGCTTCGACTGTACTGGGTAGAAGCCTGTTTGAGCCACACTAAGCGTATCCAAGAGCTCAAATGGCTTCTATTGGGTTGTCCGGAAAGTTCCCGCCGTTTTTGAACACCCTTGGTTTATCAACCGTTGTACAAAAGATTAGGGACCCAACCTGAGAGGTTATATATTTTCTGGAAGGGCATGCCCTCCTCTATATCCTGCTTGGACTCATTCTTTTACGTTCCCCAAAGTCTTTCTGTATAGGACTGTTCCGACACCTGATGCTTTTCTTCTATAGCAAGGACAAGAACGCTGCTCAAGCCACGAGAATGGTTTCTCAAGTTTGAGTAGACAATGCTCTAAGGAACCGTCCAGTGCGTTAGTTCAGATCCTAGTGCGGATCCTAGCAGTGAGAACATCGGCAACGCT